TGACGATTTATTACTTAAAAAAACGAAATATAGTGTGTCTGACTACGTATGACCTTTTTCACTGTGGCAATGAACGTGTAACGCGTTTCCTGTTTCTCGTTTTTTTTTCTGGTAATGATTTTGTTTGCTATTAAATTTAAATTTAAGGCCAATCATTGATGGTAATATTTAGATTTATGGTATGTAGAAGAGATTGCTCAGTGATCTGGAACGGTTAACGAAAATAACACTCCACTGAGAAGGCAAGGGTTCATTGACTCTAACGTTAATGGCTACATGGCAGAGTCTGATTACTGTCATAAACTTTACGATCTCCAGTTTCTTGTATTATTACTTACTCTGGTAACACCTTCCACAATTCAAATTCAATCATTTCGTTTCATTTTAATACCGTACCGTACTGTAAATAATAAGTAAACTGCGGATTTCATGCATTTATAAACAAAATGTTATTTTGCATAAAAATCCGCAGTCTAATAACAAGTTTCCTAAGATACATAACATTCCACCAGACTTCGTACGAACTTCACGAAACCAAAAACTAATTCCAAAAATTCAATTTCCCACCAAATACGATTCTTCATTTTAAAACGTGACACATAATAGTATAAATTACTCGGCAATCCGTAGGGATTAATTCTCGAAAAATGGAACATTGGAGTTGCCCAGAAACGGTACGAGACGATCGTTGAAAGCCGAATAAAATTCTATTCGACGCGCGACACAGTCCCTAATTAAGTGTCGACCAGAGTGTGAAACGATGAAAAAGTTTTCAAAACAAACAGAAAGAGTACGATGCCCGGGAACGCGTGACGTTAATTAATTTAAATCGCGCGGCCCGCCGGCGATGATGATATCCAGCGTGGACGGGGCGACGAATGGAGGGGGAATTTTTGTGAACCGGAAAAAAATGTGGAGCGGAAAAATATCGAGACGTTCACTCGTAACATCGTTCCGCCGTACGTTTCCGCTCGGCGGATAACGCTCTGGCATTGCCGTTCACCGTTATATCCACGACGCGCCGCGTTACATTATGCATGATCGTGGAACGATCCGACGTTCTTCCATTATTCTTTCGCGCGGACAATATATAATATCTCGCGGGGCGCGCTCGACCGTGTTCTAACCCCCTCGAACCAGCCGGATTTCTTGCTATTCCAGACGCTAATCCGAAAATTTATCAAGAACGTCACTAGATAACCGAGTGAATAGCAGAGAATTGCTAGCTCAACACGGTGCACGATTCTTTAGTCAATTATGTTCTGGGGATAGAAATACTTTACAAGGATTTACGTGAATTTTTGTGACCCAGAGGATACGTTGGATTTATTGAACTTTTGGCGTTTGTCTATTGATATTTCGAAGTATATGTCACTAATAAATTAGATATTATAGATTCCTCTCGATTATCGGGACAATAATCGTATAGGGGGAAATGCTTCAGACCCTCCGTTAATTCGTTTTTTGTCCGAAGCCAGAGCAAGGACAACAAAAGCGAAGGGGCAACAAAGTACGGGCTTGATAGATTCCACGGACTCCCCCAGTGGTGGGACGCTTGGACAATAATCGTGTAGTACAAGCCAGACGATAATCGAGAGGAATCTGTACTGGGGAAAAAGGATATCCAGTTAATATTATTTTGAGTAAAACGAGATACGTGCACACGTTCGTAGGGGAGACCGGGGACAAACGTAACAGTGTGTCTTTTTGAGACTATAACTTGAAGATTTTGTAGAATTTTTACGAAGTGTGTATACTGACTAATCTTGAATATACTACACTAATTTTTTGATATTACACTTTCTTTATGAGGACTCGTTTGATATTTTTGTTCCTGCTTTTAGGGGCGATTGTAACAGCATGTCTAATTTGGATATACATATATGAATTGACAGGGAAGATACTTTTGATATAAACATAAATGTAAACATAATAGAACACTAAAATATACTGAATAGAGTTACCATTGTTCCAGCTATAATCGCAAAATACGTCAAAGTTCTCCAATCGTTTTTAAAAGATTACAAAGACCGAAGATTAACAAAGTTTTTATTTTTTTCCCACTTTGAAAAAAACCTCGTTTTCTTATAACTGATTTCCCCCCTTTATTTATGAAGAAACGGTCCTTCAGAATTGGTCTACACAATCATTCATAATCTACCGAATAAAGATGATAAATGACGGTTTCTGACTATAGATAAACCACAAATTCCACACAATAACAAACTGTTAACAAAATCAAATTCAATATAAATTTGCTAGGATCGTCAGCCCTAAAATCGACTCCCAAAAGATTCGACGAACAATTCATCGATAAATCACAGGATTTTCCATGGCTAAACTCTTCGAACAGGTTTCGTCGCACAGTGAGCCTCTCTCTTCCATTCTTTGACATTTTTTCAGACGTCCTCGGTGCGCTTTGGTCGGGAAACCTTTCGGCGAAGGAAATCACAGGCCTCTTCGTGGTTACCGTTTTACACGCATTCCGTCCACGCGGCGCAAAGGCTCCCGGCGAGCGTGTCGCCATCGCGACAATGCGAATCCCCTTTTCCCACAGTGGACGAGACATTCCGTCCACGTTTCTGGCTCGCGTTTCTCCACGCACGTGCGTTATCTCGGGCGTCGTTCCCGACAGCTCGAACGTTTCAGCGCCCAAGAAGGTGGCCATTGACGAACGAGTCGCATCGCGTTGGCTAATCACACGCGGACGGATTTCATCTAGTCCCAGCTCTCGATATTTGTGGTTCGTACAATACACATGGTGTTCCGCTTAAAACAGGCCACCTAAATATCTTCTCAACTAGTGGTCGTTTAGAAATACTTTTTACGTAATTTAACACTAGAACTACCCACTATAATATAAATATGTATATAATATAAATTTACAAATTTATAAATTAACTAATTTTTTTAATATCGTATCGTAATAAAAGATACCAAAGAACTAAGAAAATGTATTGTTATAACATTTTAATCGTCGTTCTAAGAGTGTACTGGCACGTCATTTTGACTTGCTTGGTAGTTTTAGTGTTAAATAGTTTCAAGGAACAAATAGGATGGCAGGAAAATTTTTTTTATACTTGTCATTTCTTAATGGTTGTTTCAAGATCACCAATGTTGTTTTACGTATATGCATATAATTTTTCCTGTTGTATGTTGTAGCCAACAGTATTATGCATTTATCCTTGTGTTACAGTATGACCTTGAAATGACCTTGAACTCTAAATATTTTAAATTTACTTATAAAAAATTACTATCTGAAAATTATAATGGAGCAGAATTTTTAATTCTCTCCTAGAAGCTTTACCATATTATAATTGTAAACTTTATTAGAACCTTATTTTATTGCTTTTCCCAAGTTAAAAGAACAGTAAAATTATTTACAAAAGTTATTTCGTCAATTATATCATAACAATTACTCAGAAATGAGCGTAGAATGAATATCCATCAAGTCCACTTGTTCTAAAATCCATATTTCACCACCAACTTCACACCTGTTGCCCAGACAAAGTGTTACCAATCTTCCTCCAAACTTAGTTCACAACCTTAATCAATTTCCATCGTACACCAACGAACTTCCCCATCACAAGCTACCAACATTTATTCGAAATCCCCCTGCATACTCCAAAGGGTTGCATATCCCGTGCATTCTCCGCCTGAAATCGTTAAGAATTTCTCGTCCATCGGCCCGCGAGGACCACCGGCCACTAGCGTGGGCGGTCGAAACGTTCTCTCGGGAACCAGTCGAATTTTCCCAGCTGTATAATTCGTCGCGGTGTCCCCGGCCAGTAAACAAGCTCTCTGTCGGTGATCGTAGGAAGAATATAAGCACTCCGACGAGAGTCTTTTGTCTCGGCGGCTCTTTGTTCCCCCTCCTCTCCCCCCTGTCGACGGATGTCTCGACGGGTCAATGAATCTGTCCCGACGATTCACTCGTGGAAATGCGTTTCGTTTGGTGCGCGCCCATGCCGATGCACCAGACTGCATTGTTCGGATGTTTCCGACTTCTCTCTCGCTCTCTCTCTCTCTCTCTTCGGCGTGTCCTTCTCCGTTTGCACGATGTGTGCACGTGTATATATATATATGTATATTTGTGTGTGGATGGGTGGCCGACCGCGTGTCCCGACGTTAATAGGCACACCGTCGTTCTTCCCTTGAGCCGGTGTCTCGCTTTCGAGACCGTTCCTTGCACAACCCCACCCCCCACACACATGGACACCTCGAGGAGGGCAGCCCTTTACGGGAGCTGCGACAATGGGCGAATATGAAGGGCGGGGCGCCCTGGGTCAAGGTTTAGCTTTCGGGGATCGTTTCTTTGTTGTTCTCAGGTTAACGGTACAATCGATGTGAGATTGTTTTTTGGGAAATTATTGGGATAATTTTAGTATGTATGTCGAATTGTGAACGTTGGATGGGAGGGTTTTTAACCCTTTCATTTTGGGTCCTTTGGAAGTAGGACTTTTTGGGAATAATTTAACTTTCTTTGAAACTCACAATTTTTCTGTGTACAAAGTATTTTCGGAGATATTTAGTAATATTAACACATTCTTTTTCTGAAAATAAAAACAATCGTAAAATTATCGCGAGTACGCCGCAAGAATTATATTACAATCGACAAAGAGCAACATTGATAAAGGTGGCCAACTTGTCCGTGTCTCTGTATAATCGAGAAGAACGAGAGGTTAATAATAGACTGCAAAAATTTATGCAAAAATGTAGAATACTTTTAGGAACGAATTTACAAAAACAAGAATCAAACAGAATTCTGACTAGTCTGCGTTCTATCAGGTTCCAAGCAAAAGATAAAGTCCATTAAACTTCATTAAACTTTCCACTGTATCAAATTTTGTACACACATGTACGTTATAAATTCATAAAACCTACAATCTATTTATTACGCTTGAATGGACCCGTCAAACCCCATCGAATCGAATGAATCGATCGGTGGTAGTATCTAATTTCATAAATATTAATCGACCGATCGATCGCCTCTGTTTCAGGAAATGACCATACCGCCCACGCCTCTGACGGCCATCGCCCAGACGCCGCGGAAGGAGCTCGAGTCGAAGTTCACGTTCAATTCCGTGCTGGCGAAGGTGAGAACTCGTTGTTTATTAACGCGACTCGTGGAAATACGAGGCGGTCTAGTACGACCTCCCAGGAATAAATTGTAAGAAAGAAACCGATCCGCCTCGGATATCCATTCCGAATTTCGACGGTAGATTGAGCGTTATATCATCGACAGGTGAAACGTATGCTAAGATACGAACTTACAAGAGAACTTCGATAGTCCGAAATTCCGATTTTTTTTTTAAACTTAACAGGTTTGTAAGTTATTACCTCTACAAGAATTATGTAATTTTGTTTTGCTGTTTTTTCAGTTCTTCTGATACTTCTATTGAGGTCGTTCAAAAACTTGCAAAGTATAAAAAAAAATCGCAATTTCCGAAATTATATTAGTTCCATAACATCCGTCGTATAGACTCCCCTCGATTATCGTCTGGCTTGTTCTACACGATTATTGTCCAAGTGTTGTCCCCACCACTAGGGGCTGGGGGAAGGCCATGGAACCTATTAAAAAATGAATTTATAAGAGTCTGACGCATTTCTCCCTATAAGATTATTGTCACGTGGCAGACCCAAGTTCGGGACAATAATCGACAGAAGTCTGTATATCAGTATCATAATGTTGAAATAACGATTTAAAAGTCGTTAAAGGGTTAATCGAATGTCTATTCGATAATACCAGGCAGACCACCGCGTGTGTGCACGTTCGATCGATCGACGCCGGGAGGCGTGTGTTTCAATCCCAAAGAAGCCCAAGTTCCATGCCACTTGGCGTCGTGTCAAGAGTTTCGGTGCTCTCGAAAGCCACCAAGAAAGAATCGAAGAAGCGGCGAGCCGAGCTTAGCGAATCGGACCGTGGCGAAATAAAAGTGAAAAAAAAAAAAAACAGCTCCGTGATAGATATCATCGGTAGTGGTCTCCTAGAAGCGGATTAATTTCGGCGAGTTGCGCCAGGTTCCTTCCTTTTTTCGGTGCTTGGAAGCGGCATTATCGCTGGCCGCGGTTTTCCACGCGGCCGTTTTTCTCCGCGCGATTAATTGAAACTCGCGAGCGCATAATTTCTCCCGGCCGAACGGACGCGTCGCGAAATTTGTCTTTGGCCAGCCGTGAAATGTAATATCGGCTCGGGGGAGGGAGAAACGTACGTCGCGTTTGACAATTAAGTTCTGCGGCCGGCGGAATTTTTATGGACACAAAGAAGCCACGCGTGGCTTGCTGCGACGAGGAATTTGCGCATTTGAACGAGAAATTACGCGGCGACGAAAATTTCTTAACCGTCGAAATTTTGTTTGGTCGTGGATGTAGGAAAGAATTGGGATAAACCTGGAATGTCGGTCGATTTAATATTTTGGATCGTTTGACAAGTTCGTAGCGTTTCTAAAAAATTTTCCATTTACATCTATATTCTTATTTACTATTTCTTTTTTTACCATTTAATTCCATTCTTCAATTAATTTCATTGTACACAACTTCAATTGTTTTTGGCTAGAAACATAATTTTGTTTTCGAAGTTTTTTCTAAATAGAGAATATTCTAGCGATCTAGAGGAATCATTATGTGATGGGGCAAAGTTTAGTTCAGAGCTGCGCATGTGATTGCTCACGAGCAGCAGCGGCTCGAGCTTCCCCTCCTCGGATTACCCCCACTATGGACCTGAGATTGACTCGCCGAGTGTCCCTACCAATAGTCATCCCGCTTCGACTGCAGCGAGTCAATGTGAGGACCATAGTGGGGGTAACCCGAGAGGGGAAGCTCGAGCCACTGCTGCCCGTGAGCAATCAGTTGCGCAGCTCTGGTATAGTTAATTGAGTGGATGCTATAAAATTTTCCAGGCGAAGTAATGTAATTTTGAACAGAAAAAAGGACCAATAATTTGTACAGCAAATACATTCAATCCACACCTGGAAAATAGTATCTGGTCACTAGATCGAACAATCTTTCCTTTTTCCAGGAAAACGCTACGAATTTTTCCGAACCAATCCAATACAGTGTCCTTCGATTCTGTTTTTTTTTTTAGTGCAGTTTCAGTGTGTAACCTTGATGTATTTTTGTCTTTTTGCAGTTGACCGAGGTGCCGCCACCGGAACTAACGAAGCCTCGTAAGTAAACTTTCTACGTTGTATTCTTTCTTATCGGCGGTAATCCCCTGTCGAGTGGAAATGCTCGATGACGCGATCAGAGTCGGAAATCCTGTTACCTGTTTCGCCTGAGACGTAACTCCCGTCTTTGGAACGCCTGGAAAACCTATCCCATTACGGGCTGACGATAACGTGCTTGTTAATATATTAGGCGCTGGAAAAAGTACAAAATTCAAGTGATCTGAACTTTCTTAATATATAATTTTACTTAACAAAGTAATTAATATTTATTTCTATAGCTCGTCTCCAACGATCTACAAGCTTATATATTCCATTACTATAAAAGTTTGAAGCGTTAGATACAAAAAAAAAAAAATAAACTGTTGTTTCGATCTTCGTTTCGATAAAATTTATAATAGGATTTTTGACGAGTAAAGGAAGTAACGTGAATCTGTGACACCGAAAATTCGATTCAAATTTATCACTGACAGAAAAACCACAACTTTTTCCAGTACCTAATATGACCACCTTTCGCGTTATGTTCGTTTTTCGCTACATATGTTTCCATGAAAATGATAATTGCTACTTAACAAGTATCAAAACGAAGGGGAAAAGTCCCCGTAACAAAAGAGTGTACCGCAAGGTATTTGCTTCCAAGAAAGCTAGTTAACCGTGTTCAACGGAACAAAAGTACAGTCGACGTTACCGGGGGCTAGTTAACATTTATAGTCCATTACACAATTAACTCGCGCGGAACAAGAGATTTTATTGCCTCGCGGAGCACCGTTCACTATTCTCGGCGCGCTGTTTAGCGACGATGAACGCCGGAAATGGATATTTCGGGACAATTGCAGTTTCGTTTCCAGTCGCCGTTTTTTTTTTCTTTTTTCGCGAACGACAATAGAGCCGCAGGATTGCGTACTAATTTAATTGCCCCGCTAGCGATCTTCGACGTGGGCGTTAACTCCTGTTCTTAAGTATTAGGACACTTAGTTTGTATGAATAAAATGTGATATTTTGTAAAAATTATATATTTCAAGTCAGTTTTGTTACTTTATACTAGAATAAGGGTTGTCCATTGAGCTGTGACCCCTTGCCTTACGATTTTCCTGACGATTGCAATCGGCAGAATTACTTTTTCAAGTGTAGATTTACATAAAAAGTTAAATTTTTCACTACGTGTTTGACTCGATGTTGTAAGTAGACTGCGGATGTTTATACATTAATAACATCTTTTAACTTGAAAAAAATGCAATAGAATAAAGGTTTAAATAAAGTTCAATACTATTTCTGTGTCATTATTAACGTAGTGAATCTTCTAATACAGAATTCAAAATTGTGCTCCAATTGTAACTTTGAGATATTAGTATTTGGAATTGTAAATTTGCATAAACTTCAGAAATTTACTAATTTCGTAAAGTCTTGTAATATTCACTTCATATTCGATAAGTGTTCTAATAGTTATGAACGGGAGTATACACCTCTGGCCGATCTGTTTTTCGAGAAACCATGCCCCTGGGATTATTTCCACGGGAACAAGGTCCATGAAAAAACCTAGATCCGTTGCCAGCCGCAAAAAACCGTGAACGTCGATTCCTGGTCGCGTTTTACACTCGCTGACCTTTGCCATTAAACTCCGAGTCCTGAGTAATTAGTATTTCCCTGGTGGTTCGACTACAGGGAGAGGTAAAATAAGTACTAGCCAGGCTGCGTCTCGTGCAGCGTGAAAAATTTTCGTTGCATCGGGTGACTCGGTACCTGTATTTCTTGCACATGTTTGTTGCAGTATTGGTATAATAATTGGGTCACGAAATCTATGAATTTTATAGCATACACGATTGTATGCTGTTCGTTTAATATTTTAAATGGATGTTTACTTTATTTCGGACCGAACAGGAACATTTAATATACTGATTTTGATTTTATTTTTATTGTAGTTTTTGTAGTCCATGAGAATTCGTGTTTGGAAAACATTTGCAGTATACAGTAACAGTAATAATTTTAATAATAATAATGCTACTTTATTAAAATTATTAAAACACAAAGACATGATTGTAAAGGAAATAACAGAGCAAGAAGATGATAAAGCGATAGTAGTGTCAATGGCGAGGTTCAGCAACAACTTGGGTGTTTTTATTAAGTCTGACATTGGTAGATTCTATACAGTTAGAAATCTTAATCACAAATGAAGGTCAATACGAAGTTTTTAAACGATAAGTGTGATAACGATAAAATATCTCGATGAAGGAAGAGGTCATTCTGGATAGTCATTCTAGATATCTGGAATTAAGTAGAATATACTGTCTTTATCAGACGAGGATATACAGGTTTATCCGATAATTCCCCACGTTTACAATGTCCGATAGTTTCGATATCGTAATGAATACGACGTCGATTGCTGAAGTGTGTTTTGACCCTAGAACATTCAGTAGAATTCCCTTTGTTTGTCAGACAAGGCCACACAGCTTGTAGAACTTTGCTCACTTTCACTGTCACACGCTGTTGTAGCATCGCAATGAATAGACCATCGATTGATTTAATGACCTGCTACGTACAGTACAACAAGTCAGACAACGCGTACAATCTGTTTAAATAGATAATAGAATTTCTTCAAGAATCTTACATGAAAGAGACTGTTTTTACAACTACAATTGAGTTCAGACAAGTTAAGTTAAGACAACTCTTACACAAAATCGCGAATAACGAATACACTATCAAATATCTCTACAACAACCAGATCAAAATACAAGCAAACACACCCGACATATATAGAAAAATAACAAATGCAAAATTAAACCAAAAAAAAAAAAAAAAAAAAAGAACAATTCAGTTCAATGATGCATAGAGTTTCGTTAAAAATCTTACACAAAAAATGCTACTTCTACAACTAGATTTCAATTTGACTAGGTACAGAATTTCGTCAAAAATCTTACACAAAAAACGATATTTCTACTATAATTCACTTATTTCTTTTCAGTTCTTCTTTTCAGTTATTCTACTACAATCCAACTATAATTAAATTTGACGATGCATACAATTTCGTAAAAAATATTACCCAAGAAACGATATTTCTGCAACTAAAATTCAATTCGGTGACACAAAGTTTCGTCCAAAGTCTTACCAAAAAGTACACAATTTTTTCAAATATTACATTCTACCGATGAATATCGTTAGCCCCCTTGATGTAAAAAAATTCGATACCGCGAAAAATAAAATTCGTTAAACATTCACCGCGCGTGGACAGTTTTCACCACAAATCCCCAACAATCCGCGTCAGATTTGCCCGCCCACATGCACACACGCACCGAAACTATTTTTTTTTTTCACCGTGGTCGATGTTTGTTCGCGAATATACAAATATTTGTTTAGCTTCTGGTCGACTCTCTTCGCGTTTTTGTTTGGCTCCGCGATCAGTGGCTCTCTATCGTCGGAAAGCGGATCCGTCGCGCGTAAACCTGGTCTGCGGGGGGCGCCCCAGGAAAAACCTGTGGATTCATTGATATTCGAGCGTTTCTAAGCGGTCGAGGGCGGCTGCCGTGGATACTGTTTCATGAATTAACCATTCGCCGCCACGGCCCTCCGTTCCCCGTTCCACGAATATACATTGGCCATTTCGCGACTGGCATTATCGGCGTTACATATTCGGCCGCGGGCGAAGAACTTACTCGTTGGGTAAATTTGAACGTCGCGGTGAACCGATTTCACGCGACGAATCACGGCAAACGGCCTGCGTTGGAAGCCTTTCGGCCCCTGGGACCGCCTCGATATCAACGGTGAAACGATTCGAGAGGCTTAAATTGATAATTCAGAGATTGACTGCTGCGGTGGATACTGCTGACCGATATTTGATCCGTCAGTGGCGCTAGTGGCGATCTCAGAATTAATTATGACACACAAATGGTATGCTAGTGTTAACATGCTTCGAGTGGAGTCGAAGGCGGATGCGCTATTTTGCTCATTAAAATGATCTATTCTTTAAGAAATATGCCTTACAGTTGTGACTTTTACTCTTTAACGCGTAGACCCTTAAATCGTTATTTCAAAATTGAGAGACTGATACGTATGTTGTATCTTGTTATTGTGAAATTGGAAATTTTGATATACAAACAGACTTATTTTTTTTTATTTTTTATTTATTTTTGGAGGGAATACAGTGGACTCTAACTATATTGCCACGCGAGGCAGTTCCCCAACGTTGCGTACGTAGGTTTTCCGCAGGCGCTGATGCTGAGGCTATGACGATAGAACTTATCATGGAGGGGGCTCTGAACTCATTGCCATTTTACTCCCCTCCAGCCCCAACCATGGCAATATAGTTAGAGTACACTGTACATAAATGTCTCAACTGAAAACGTGGAAATCTATTTCGTAACAGTGAAACCACAGATCTTTGCTGACAAAGTTACATATTAACAGCCACAGAATTTGACAAACACATTTAAAATAAGTTTAGAGGACATTATAAGTTTAAGATTACCCTGGACTGCAAATATACATTCATATTTGTCTTGGAAATTTCTTCCATGAACTTACAATGGTGACTAGTGCACAAAAACATTCCGTTACTTAACAATGATAAAATTGGGCCATGAATTTATAGTTACACCGGTCAGCAAAGGGTTAAAAGATGTTCACAAAGGCCCCGAGTCCAGCTCGAATCTAATCTACGAATCTTCCACTTCCGGTCGCCTTTCTACCCTCTCAACGTGGCCCCCCTGGTATATTTCTCCGTGGCCGTTTCCTGCCGCGGCGGAAATACCGAAATGCCCGTTTTCGTCTCCCTCCCTCGGTTCAACCCGTTCGTCGTGGCGCGCCCGCCTCCTCTTTATCAACCAGAAACGGACTCGAGGAGTCCTCCAGGCCCGATTAAGAGGCGGAGGGAACGCGTTAACCGCTCTGCGAGTTGTAGCGCCGCGTGCCGCTGCTCGGTAAGCATCATCCACCTGTGCACACGCGTGTAGGCGTTAACGAGCGAGGGCGTGATCGCGTGACCGGCGACCTTAATCGGTCTCCTTACTATG